GTAGTGGTAGTGGTAGTGGTAGTGGTAGTGGTAGTGGTAGTGGTAGTAGTGGTAGTAGTGGTAGTAGTGGTAGTAGTAGTAGTAGTGGTAGTGGTAGTGGTAGTGGTAGCAGCAGTAGGAGTAGGACTAGGAGTAGGAGGGAGTAGGAGTAGCAGTAGCAGTAGCAGTAGCATTAGTATAGAGTATAGTAGTATAGTAGTAGTAGTAGTAGTAGTAGCAGGAGTAGTAGTAGTAGTAGTAGTAGTAGTAGTAGTAGTAGTAGTGGTAATAGTAGTAGGAGTAGGAGTAGGAGTAGGAGTAGTAGGAGTAGTAGGAGTAGTAGGAGTAGTAGGAGTAGTAGGAGTAGTAGGAGTAGTGGTAGTGGTAGTCGGAGTAGAGTAGTAGTAGTAGTAGTAGTAGTAGTAGTAGTAGTTGTAGTTGTAGTTGTAGTTGTTGTTGTTGTTGTTGCTGCTGCTTTGGCCATAAACACAGCAACTTGGCCGGCCTAACTCGCGCCTTGGGGCCATCTTGGGCCATCTTGAAGGAGGGGGATACCCGCGCGAACATGTTAACAAAAGGGAAGAATTGAACAGCGTTGCGTGTTTGCAAAAAATGCGAACGCATTGTGTTTTTGGATGTTGTTTTTGCGCGTGTGTTTGCGCGGAAGAGCCGAAAACACTGGTATTTGCGAGGTTTTCTGGCTTCCGTCCGAGCGCACCTCCAGACCTCTTCCCCAGTGACCGTGCTGGATTGCCCGCGCGTGGTCTACACGTGGTCTTGCCGCCTTCTGCGGCGGGGCCCTGCGGACAGGGTTGCCGCGGACCAGACTGAAATCTGAATGTTCCTTGCCGTTTTCACACTTGGCCAAAATTTGGCGTGAGAGGGTTGCCGTGGACCACTTGAATTTGCAATGTTCACAACGCTTGACATTCATTTCCGCAAAAGTGTTGCGTCTCATGCCGACTTCTCGGCGCCGCGCCCAGCCCAAGTTAGAAAGAGAACGCGATCAAAAAGACAGGAGCGAGAGAGAAAGACATAGAAGAAAAGAGGGAGGAGAGAGAAGAGCGAGCAGAGTGAGAACAGACAGACGGAGAGAGAGAGAGGGTGAGTGAGTGAGTGAGTGAGTGAGTGAGAGTGAGAGTAAGCGTGAGCGTGAGCGTGAGCGTGAGCGTGAGCGTGAGCGTGAGCGTGAGTGAGTGAGTGAGTGAGAGAGTGAGAGAGTGAGAGAGTGCGAGTGAGAGTGTGAGAGTGAGTGAGTGAGAGTGAGAGTGAGAGTGAGAGTGAGAGTGAGAGTGAGTGAGTGTGTGAGTGTGAGAGAGAGGGGAGAGAGAGAGAGAGGAGAGAGAGAGGAGAGAGAGAGGGAGAGAGAGAGAGAGAGAGAGAGGAGAGAGAGAGAGAGAGAGACAGAGACAGAGAAAGAGAAAGAGAAAGAGACAGAGACAAAGACACAGAGAGAGAGAGAGAGAGGAAGAAGAAGAAGAAGAAGAAAAATAAGAAGAATAAAAAGAAGAAAAAGAAGATAAAACAAAAAATGACGAAGAAGAAGAACAATAAGAATAAATATAAAAGAACATAATAAGAAGAAAACACAGAAAAAGAAAAAAACAAGAAAACAACAAAAACAAAAAAAAACAACACTGTAAAAAATACACATATTTAAAAGGGATCAAAAGAAGACAAAAAACACCACACAATATCAAAAAAATATGAAAACATTAAAACACCAAAACATAAAACGAACACAAAAATAAACACCCATAATAAGATAAAAAACATTTGAGAAAAATCGAGGAGAGAAAAGAGAACAGAAGAGAGAAGAGACGAGAGAAGAGAAGAGAGAAGAGAAGAGAAGAGAAGAGAAGAGAAGAGGAGAGAGAGGAGGAGAGAGAGAGAGAGAGAGAGGAGAAGAGAGAAGAGAAGAGAGGAGAGAAGATAGAGAGAAAAGAGAAAGGAACAAAGAGAAGGGGAGATACCTGCAGATGTGAAGATGTGCATGTCTGGATATGTATGGATGTATGTGCAGATGTCAAGACGGGCAGGTGTAAAGATGTGCAGGTGTGAACTTGTGCTGGTTCGGAATGTTCAACTTGTGGTTCTGTGCGGATGTAAGTTGTTGTTGTCTATGGTGCACCTGTTCTTTCAAAAACATCTTTCGCTCAGGCGCTCTCGGGAAAAAGGGTGGGGTAAAAATAGGGTTGGTTTGGATGGTTTTAAACCGGGGTTCTGTTTCTCGTTGGTCACCGCAAAGGCACAAAGAGGTTGAACATGCAACTCCTCACCAAATCCTGACTTATTGCACTGCGCAAATGCAGCCAATCAAGGTGAAGGCCCTTCTACTCAAACAATATTGGAATGGAACAAAGCAATGTTGAAAGGCATTTCAATATCAGTCGTTTTGTCATTTCACTCTAGTTTGTTCTCATGTCTATTTCATTTCTTCAGTCTGCAAGGGTGCTGTTAAATGGATGGTACAGTTAGTTGATTGCGCCCTCGCTATGAGCTGAGACACCTTGTGCTTTGAGCAGGTTTGTGCAATCTTGTCGCTGGTGTGGTGGAGATCATGCAGGGAATGCCCTCTCAGGGAGTGCCATGACTAGCAATCGGCCTGGAACAAGTGTCTCAAGTGTCTACATAAACACTTGAGACGAGTTTAGACATCGTCAGAACAGGCTGGACAACCTCCTTTTTTTCAATTTTTCCAGCGTTGCAGTGTGCAAATCCCCACCAAGGTTTGGCACGTGCTGCGTTCGTGGTTCTGGCTGCGCAACCTGGAGTGTGAGGCCAAACACATGCAAGTCCTTTGTGCGACTATGTTGATGTGGACATTCCCACAGTATCAGCAGGTTTTGATTTCTAGAGCAACTCGTAGTAGGGAAGATGCACAGGTGTGAAGGCCTGCAGTTGAACCTGTATGTGTTGGAAAGGCCTTGAAGTTTGAGGGCCACGAGCGTGGCTGCGTGCGCTCTACTGCTCTGCTGGCCTTGGGAATCTTCAATCTGACCCTTGGCCAACTTAGCAACCTTTGCTGACAGTGAGAGAATATATCTAGTACGCTTTCGGATAGTTCTTTAGGAGGTTGGTTCTAGATGTGCAGGTGAAAATCTGGGATAGGTTTGACCTCTATTTGTTGTTATTTGGCCTCTGTTTTAGATCAACTTGGCTTGTGTTATGGGATAGGTCATTTGTTTTGTTGCCTTGTTGGCCGTCATTTGGTCTTCTTTTTGCGTGTACTTTATCGTTGTATTTGTTTGCCGACTTTAGGCCTTTCTTCGCTGTGGATCTAGGTCTTGAACAACCCCTTAACTACAACACTACTTGTAATTGTTGTATAGGTCTTCAGGTAGTGGGTTTTCAAGACTGAGCTTTACAATTCCCTTCTTGCATGATGACAGAAGTATTTTGTCACAGGCTTAGAACAGTGAAGACATCACTGGAAGGAACTGAAAAAAACCGGGTATTGCGGATATTTTCAGAGGAACGGCAGCACAGCAACAGCATCACAGCAGGGCAGACTGGGAGCGGGCATGGTCGACAGGTTCTCCGACTGAGCAGTGTACCTGGCCAGGTGCGAGGAAAGGAAAAAACCACACAGGAGGGGAAGGGACATTCCCTCAACCTGCTGTCAACCAAAACAGACCTTTTGTGCAAGGGACGGTTACAACATGTTACAAATAAAGTCGGGGACAGGGAATCTTGCTACTAGCTTCTAGCTACTAGTAGTAGTAATGCCCTTGTTTAGCGATGCCCTTGTGACTAGTAGCGATGCCCTTGTGACTAGTAGCGATGCGCCTGTGACGAGTAGCGATGCACCTGTGTCTGGTAGCGGTGCACCTGTGACTAGTAGCGATGCGCCTGTGACTAGTAGCGATGCACTTGTGACTAGTAGCGATGTACTTGTGACTAGTAGCGATGGACCTGTGACTAGTAGCGATGCACTTGTGACTAGTAGCGATGCACTTGTGA